GTAAAGCGTGTTTTTAAAAAGTAACTAAGTAACTAAGTAATTAATTACTTTTGAAAATAAGTAATCAGTAAAGTAACGGGATTACTTTTTTGGGGAAGTAATCGGTAATTAGTTACTGATTACTTTTTTCAAGTAACTTGACCAACACTGGTCTTAAGGAAGGAGACAAAAGATTTTGCATCGATTGGTTAGACAGAGAGATCGAGTTGGAAAGGATTAGCAGCAGGTTAGCGTGATTAAAGACAGAAAGAGAGAAAAGTGTGTCAGGAAGGTGGAAGGAGGACTTTGAGGAGTTGATGAACGCTCACAGCAGATGCAAGAGAGCCTGGAGAGGTGAAGGTATCCTCTGGAGAGAAGAGGAATAAAAGTCAGTCAAAGCAAAACCGAATACATGTGTGCGAATGAGCAGGAGACAGTGGTGAAGACGAAAGTGCAGACGAGTGTCGGGGTTGACTTGTGACTGATAGATAGCAACAAGCAAAGGATTACAAGATGACAGTGAGACCTGAGATGTTAAGATTAGAAAGGAGTATCTCAGCAGGACAGCTCAGGTTGAATGGTTTGGAGACACAGTTAGAAAGACGAGGCTGACATGTGCAGAGGATGTTAATGATGAAGCTGCCAAACAAAAGAGGACGACCACAGAAGGAGAACATACAGAGGTTTGGTGTGACATAACAGGATACTAGAGTGACGCAGATGATCAGCTGTGGCGACCCCTAAAGAAGCTGAAAGAAGAAGAAAATGATTATGCAGTGAAATAAAATAGAGTTGCTTTAGTAATCGCAATATGACACAAAATTTATTCTTTATCTTTACTTTTCACTTTTAAATCAATTTTTCCGAACTCTTCTGTCGGGCTGCATACGTTAAAGTTCCTTTTTATGTGTATCGATTATTCTGCCATCTATTAGTAGCGTCTGTCCGCCTCGTAGCTGCTGCAGGATTGTTGTCATTTTCTGTGGCTAGCGTTTAGCGCTGGCTAGCCGTTGGATTTTTCTCTCCAACATACTCTGATCCAGCAGGTGGGTTGTGTCATTAAACCTGTATGAAGCGAGGCTCTTTAAATTAGTCAACGAAAGCTTTTAGTCGTAAAATTAGCAGCTAGCAGTCAATATTGAGTGTTGCCGGGCGCAGCTAAAAGTTGAAAACAAATGTCAGCTAACAGCTAGCTGCATTCTTAATAAGTTAGCTCGCTTAAAGCTAGCTACATAGTCTTCTGCTGTAGCTGAAAACGAAACTCTTTTCCAATTTAGACTGGCAAACAAATACAAACGTTTACTACTTATAACGTATTTCTACAGATGTCCGGTTTGTGAGGAGAAAGGCTAGACTGGTTTGATTTCAGTGTAAACATAGTACCCGACATAAAATGTCCATGTTAGGTCATTTTTTCACGACGGTCCCTCACGGAAGAGCTGGGGACATTTACTCCAAAGTTGGAGAGGGTGTCGATCACATTTTTAAAAACTCAGTTCACGTAAAATTTTCCATTTTGCACTTTTGTGATGTAAGGAAATGCCACGCTAACATGGCCCTGTTCCAGCTGCTGTGAACAGGACTCGACATGTCAGCTCTCCCTTCCTTTCAAAATTCTGCAAATAAAGCAGGTTTTAAGGAAGAGGGCAGGTCGTAGGTTCAATGACATCATGATGATGTCTTTAATGGGCCGCTGTCTTTGCACTGCAACAGCTGTCAACAGCTGTCTGGCTTCAGATAATCTCATTAATGGTGGAGCCACAAAAATACGCAACACGCTGACTGGTTGTTTTATTTTAAAAGTGTAGGTGAAATTTTCATTATAATTGAGCTGAAATGAACAGAAAACGCTAATGCTAGAAGCTGGATCTGTATTTGTTCTTTACAGCTCGTGCAATAAATAATAAAAATAGAATTTCAGTCATATCTCAGCTGACTGGAGTCAGAATAGGAGTTAATCTCATGGAGCCTGAGTGATGTCTTTATTTTACATTGTGTGTTTTATAAAGCAGTGAATGAGGTTTTTTATCCTTTGTTGAATCTCAACAAAAATGCAGCAAATAGAATATAAAATGCAATATACTCATATGGATAACATAAAAAGGATTATAAATGTGCAGTCATAAAAACATTTGTTTGGACAGCTTTAATTTGGAGTTGAAAGAAGCTCACAGAAACTGTCCAGTTTCCTTCCTGGCTTAAAATGGGCTTTTGGAGTTAGACCACATAGATAAGCGTGATTGGTCAAGATAAAGTTGCAATTCTGTACATTTTCCTGCCATTTCTGACCATTTAATGATCAAAAATATATTTTAAGTTTACTTTATGGACGTGTAGACTGTTGAGGGTGTACCCCATCTCTTACCTCTTGGGATATGCTCCACAAACCTCATTTAAAGTGCTTAAAAATGTATTTTTTAATCATTGTCCTTGTGGTTTTTCTCTGGCCAAAACCTCTTTGCCATTAGTCAGAGAATGGCTTATATTCAGATGAAACCCTGAGATAAAATATTGTTGCTAATTTTTCTAACAACAACAGGGACTAATTAATCATCATCACCTAATATGTAGCAGTCCGGGAATCCATCAGCTAATTTTTCCCTCTGGAGACAATGGTCAATATTTCCGGGCCAGAGATATCTGAGACAAGACTTCCTGTTTTGATGATTTCAAGATGCACATCGACAAATGAGTTCCCTATTTTGGTATCCTAGCAGATTTTTTGTCAACCTGAATGCAGACACAGACTGCTCAAACACAAAACCAAAAAGCTTCATAAAAAGTTGGCTCTTTTATACTTTGTGCCTGAAACCTTTGCACAGCACTATACTATACCCGTGTGTGCGTGTTACTCAGGATGTTAGGATGGAGTGTGGCCCAGTTCTGCCGGACAGCCTGGTGTTGGAGATCTTTCTGCGTCTGCCCCATGATGCTGTGCTGAGAGCTGGTCTGACCTGCCGACAGTGGCTGGCTGTCTCCAGAGATGAGTTCCTGTGGAGGGAGCTGTTCTACAGCTACTACCGCATTCCCCGCTTGGTACCCCGGCACCCTGGTAAATATCTTTATTATTTATTTGTTTCTGAGAGGAATTTAGTTACTGCTGAAATGTTCTCTCATTAATTCCAAAACCTGCCTGTGTGCAGCGGCTGTATCGTGGTACAGGGAGTTCAAGCGTCTGTTTGACTGCATCCCCTGTGTGGAGGTTCAAACTCTGAGAGAGCACACCGACCAAGTCCTTCACCTGGCTTTCTCTCATCGGGGTCACCGCTTCTCCTCCTGCTCAAAAGACTGTACTGTTAAGGTAAGATATGCTGTTGAGGTTTCTTATTGTCTATGGAGGACAAGGGGACACTTTTACACAATTTTAGGTATTTTACTCATCTGGGGGGGTTGTTGCAGAAGATCAGTGGCAACTTGCACAAACAGTGCAAACAGAGTAAGGGGAAAATGTCTGACTTCCTGTGGGGGTTTTAGAGTTCTATGTCAGACATTTGCAATGTCTTGCTGTCTGAATACATAGTGAGTATTACTCCAGGCCATGAAGTGCAAAGTATGCAGCAGTGCTCGTGAAAATTAGTGGACAACCAATGGCACAACTGAAGTACTCA